CTCAGTTAACATCATCTCTCTCCAAAAAGCTAAAAAACAATTGAAATGCTAGATAGCTTCCCTAATCACATAAGCAAAATAACTCTAATATTTTCAAAAAGTAAAGCAGAAAATTAATATAATTAAAATCTATTAGTATTCCTCTGAAATAGAGATGTGAACCTTATTCATTTGATATCTAAATAATAGTAAATCCAGTAGATATTCACTGGGTTTATTATCATTTAGATATCTGGTTCACATCTCTATTCTGAAAATAAATTACAGTATAAATTCTTGTAATCTAGTAATCAAATTTGTATTCTTATGTTTCAAAATTATGCAGATCCGATCACTGGATCACAAGAATTTTGGTTGTAAAAAATGTATAAGGATGCTTATTCTCAAAGGAATATTATATATAGTTTTGTTTTCTTGCTCCTCTCTTTTGTGAGAAAAGTGTAATACAAATCATTATTTGGTCTAATTATTAATTTGATTAGAATCTCTAAATTAAATTTTAACTTGAAGTTAATTCGTCATAATAGATTCACTACTTTAAATATGTTCGTTTCATTTTCCCCTCCCCCTCCCGAGAAGCCTAGAAAGTGATGTTAACCGAAGAATCAACTGCAAGCAGCCTTATCAACCTGCACAACAGTAATGCTATGTATCATACATAATATATATTATGTTATAATCTAGATCTAATATATTCCCCAGGATATTTTTATCGAACACAGATTATATTTATAACAAAAAAAAGAGGTGTTTTGTTGTTAAGATTGATTTAGAATATGTTAGATGATTATTGTTATTTGCAGCTTAAAACTATTCACAATAGTGAACTTGTAAATATGATGTGGTTGATTTGTATTATCCCAGCATGTTCTTGTGAATATTTATACCACAACCATGATAAATGAAATGGTATGTTAATAATATTTGTAAAAAATGGTAATTAAAAAAAATATATATAAAACTACATATATAACGTAGTTAATTTGCATTATTCTAGCATTTTATTATTTTTATATCAACATGGAAAACTAGATTTATATCAGCAATCTTCAAATTTTATTGTTCCAAATATTAATATCATTTTTTCAATTTATTAAAATATTTCTTTGGTCTTTCAATTGTTAATATTTTTTTTTGTGTTATATTTCTAATTAAGTGTGATTATAATGTATGGCTGTTTAGTTTTATAGGACTTTTTTATATCATTAATTAGTTAACTATAATTAAACAATTTTATCAATATAAGGGTTTGGCGACTTAGTGAAGTTGGCAAGTTGTCACACCCCCAAGCAGCAGGACTAGAGTTCGAATCCCACCAACGATGAAAATTCGAATTTAAGAAAATGCATTTGGAAGACTGTATCCTATTGGGTTATAGAACCTGTAATGGTAGTTGTACCAGCTTGTACTGGGAGGTAGTGGAACATGTAGTGTGATGTACAAGTTACATGAAACCCAAGTGATGCTACTGGATAAATACAGCGAATTTACAGGGTATGGGAGCCTGCTTGGCAAGATCAGAGTAGAGAGGTAACACAGATTTTTGACAGTACTATGTAAAAGATTATCAACCAGAAACTGGAAAACTGAATAGGACCGAAGTGTTTGGCAAGGCACTCCACCAACCTGGCCACCAGAGAGTAACCGGAAGAAAAGGACCAACTATGAGGATCAAGAGCAAGTCACAGCCCTTCTGGACCACCTGAATTAGAAGTTTGGAATGATAGATGTACAGAGGATAGTCCGTATAGTAGGTGCTGGGTTTGGGTAAACTCTATAAGGGCAGTAGTAGGTAACGGTAGCAGCCTCGGCTCGCAAGTACTTGTCTTCAGACTTGGTGTAAGTTACCGAAAGCTTAGGTTAACCAGATTGTGGGTACAGATAGCTCTAGCAACGATGCCTCGAGGATAAATTAGTCCTAAGGGTATAGGTGAGCATCTAGAACTTTGTAAGATGTAATGGTAATACAGGAAGAGATGCATTACAGAGGGTTTAATTGGATAGCTCAAGTAATAGTAGGTTATAGATATGACATCTAGTGTAGAACCTAGCAATAGGTAAATACTTAATTAGGCACTCAAAAAGCACAGGTATGGCTAGAATATACTCTCTAATGTATGAAGTTGGAATGAGCCTCTCACTTAGTAAATACCTGAATAAAAACCTTAGTCCCAAAGAGCTAGTTAAAGAGAAAAAAAAAACCAAGTTTATTAATATATACAATGTATAATGAATATTTGATAATAAAATCTTAGATAATAAATCTTCAATAACTATAATAATCTGAATTGCAGCTTATTATGTTTGTTGTATTCATTAAGCGTATTTTTTGTAGATATTATTTGTGCCTATTTTTTATACTTAGTTTATTAATCATTCAATGCACCTGTATTAAATGAATAATGACACAATTATCAAACATCTATTAGCATGGTCCTAAAATTTAAGTGTAAAATATTTAAATCTAAAATTTATAAAAAAAAAAAAAAAGTTTCAATATTATATTCTGTGTTTGGTCAAAATGCTTATACACACCTCTTTAATTGTTCTAATTGTTGCAAAGGATGATAGAACCTTATTTACTCAAGGCCTAGCAAAATATCAATAGGATCAAAATGTTTTTCAAACTATTAGATGGAAAATTCTATCCATTTAATAAACCTTGTTTGAAATTTTCACAAGGTGATATACTTCTTTTTGAAGGGAAATTTATAATTGAAGGTGGGTCTGAATATATTACAGTTGCTTATGCTAGCATTATTGATGTTGGTGATCCTAATAATGGATTTAAAGCTGATGAAATTTCCCTTTGTGTACCCCATTTTATGTCTCTCGTGACCATCAAACATAATCCAAAATCTTGTAATGGAGCGATTTACTTTCTTGTTTTTATAAACTATTGAAAAAAAGTAGCTCTATTAGAGAGCTTCAAGTTAAAAAAAAAGAATATATACACTTTCGTTAAATACTTGCGTTAATAAATATAAATTTAGTTTTATAATATTGTTTAATTATCTGATATGTACGCACGTACGTTGATGCAAGAAATCCAAAACCCACAATTATACCTTATAAAGACAAAATTATAAACACTTAAATTTATTGAAGTCGATAATTTAATTTAATGACTAACTTGAATAGGTTACAGATTATGCCAAGCTGATAATCAAGTAACACAGTATTTCTTAAATTATCGACTTCAATAAAATTATTTACATACACACTTTATTGATTTGATGTTTATAATTTAGTTTTCAATGTTTGTATATAGTATAATTGCAGTGCTTAGATTTCTTGTATTGTATGTACGTACGTACGGTGCAGGAAATTTAAAAACTTCAATATCTCCATGTAGAGATAATGCATAAACTAGTGATATACCGAAAATAAATTTCCTAAATTATCGATCTCAATAAGCAAAGGGGTCTAGAACTCTCAATCTCTTCGCATAAAAACAATAAGTAAAGAACAATGTGTATGTAATAGTATGCTAATTTAGTTCATCTCCAATGAATTAGTTAACCTTTTTTTCTATATAAAGCGATTTTTAGATTTCCTGCACTGTACATACGTACATAATTTTAAATAAAGTTTACATAGAAATGCATATATCTTATTATGGAATCAAAAGCCAGAGCGATCTGATTATCCGCGCGCTCAATTTATAGCGCACATAATATAAAAATTTTTAACAAAAATCTTTTCTGTTTTAGTCTAAGAGGAAATGTGGATCGCAACCAATAAATAAGATGCCTACTGCTAATCATAAACTTTATTAGAAATGATCTGCTGCATACCGACGAAAAAAGCTTAGAGAGGGTAGAGTAAATCATGCAGCACTTCACCCACCAGCAAAACAATTTGCTGTGAAACAGATTCCAATTGTAGCAAGAATCTTCATTTTGTTTCTTAAATATTTATTTACTGAAATAACTACGTATTTCGCTTCTTGCGTTCATACAATTATCAGTCTTGACCTTATAATTATTAATATAAAGGCTATGGAAGCGATAATAAAAAAAGATGCCAAAACAAAAGATTTAGAAAAATTATTTGGGTATGCAAAAGAATTAGAGAAAATTAGAAGCAATTTAAAAATATTATTTAAAAACCAGGATGAACTAGATAAAAACGAGAAAGAAGTTGAAAAATACATAAGTGTAACAACAAAAGAAATAAAACGATTAACATTTTATCAACAAATAAGTAAAAATGTTACAAAAGTAGGCGGTGCCTTAACATTGGCTGGTTCAGTCATAAGTGGAGGATTAAAATCATCAGGATATTCTTATCAAGGAGACTTGCTTTTGTTGGTCAGCTCAGGAGTAGGAGGTTTTCTGACGTTAACTAGTTCGATTACAGAAAGTTATTATGCCATAAAAATAAAATCTCATCAAGAGGAAGAAGGAAGATTGGAAATTGAAAATCTAAAAAGATTGATGAAAAGGATTATCGAGATCTTAATTGGCTAAAGAGCTTTTTAGAAAAGTTTAATGATATTTATGATCATTTGTTTTGGCTTTCAAGAACTGCTAGATATTCAGAGGAAATAGATAAGGCAATTTCTAAATTTTTAGCTAGGAATAGAAAGTTTAAAGAGGAAGATTTAGTGCAAATTGAGAAAAAAAAAATTAAAATAGATAATCTTATTCCAAAATCAACATCTGTACCAATAAAATCAATATTGTCTATTCCAGATCCAATAAAATTTACAAACATGTCTTTTGCAGAACAACTAAAATTTACACAAATGTCTCATGTAGAACCAATAAACGTTATTAAAAAAAATGAAGAATTAACAGAATTACAAGAGATAAGAGTAAACAAGGGTGCTTTCGAAGAATTTAAAAGGTTTTGGGAAGAAGAAAGTATTGAAGACAAAATAAACGAGTTCAAGAAATTTTCAATGAAGAAAAGATTATAGAGATGGGTGATGATGTGAAAAGGAGCTCTAATTATGATTTACAAATAATAGTTAATCAAGGAGAGTAAATCAAAACCTCACTCAAGAATAATTACAGTCAGACTATATTCCTCAATATAAGTACCAGGGGGTAGCAAGCTTTATGAATTTTTAAGATTTTTTGTCAATTTTCCTATAAAAAAAATGGTCCAGGTTGTGGTACGGGTCAGTGTTGGCACATGACCAGGTCATAACAGGTCATATTACTAAGTTCAATTAGTGATGTCATATGACTGAGGTCATATGACTTTACTAATTGAACTTAGTAATAATATGACCTGTTATGACCTGGTCATGTGCCAACACTGGTACGGGTTGGTTACGGGAATGCATGAAATAGCACGGATCGTGTGACACGCACAGGCATGTTTTACGTCATGCGGAACAGCATGTTGTGAGGGGTTTCCGGCACCCTATTATTATTGTTTTTTTTATGTTGTTATTATAAGGGTAGCTGCGCATAGTGATACTCTACTCGCTCAACACTATATCTACAATAGTTAATGATGAAATAGTTAGAGGTCTTACCCGGATCGGGCTGACCCGTACGGGTCAGTAAATTTGACGGGTCATGCGGGTTACGGGTCAAAATTGAGCTGACTCGGATCAGATAGGTTAAATATCAAATAAAATGTTGCTAAAAAATCAAACTTCGGCTAGAGCCTGAATACATTTTTATAAATACGGATATATAATCTGGGAATAATTTATAATCTGAACTTATGTAAATCACTTTTTAAAACGTTCTTAGCATTACATATTTTTTAGTTTAATTTATCATAAATCAGACTTATCGTTATCTACTACCTTTAATAAAAAATAAATAAAAAAATAAATAAAAAAACGTTAAAATAAAAATAGGTTAATCAATTGAAAAAATAATTAAAAAAAGTGAAAATAAAAATCATCACACTTCAGCTAACCACAATATCTTAAATTGTCCTTTTATTAATTAACCATACAACACCCTCCCATTTACTGCGTTCACTATATTCCTGATATATACTTACTACATTCCTAGTATTTTGCTATGCTTAATTCTTAAAATATCCACTTCCAGATTTTCCCCTGCAACACTCATATATGGTATATTTCTTAATTATTATCCTAAATAAGTGCTGCAGAATGAGAGCCTGGAAGTGGAAATTCAAGTTTTCACCATAGCGAATTTAGTGCATAATATCGGTGTTTTAAAGTTCACATACAAGTAATAGGTAGACAAGATAAAACTTATAACCTATCTGACCCGGGTCACAACCCGGGTCAAAAACTTTCGGGTCGGGTTTGACCCGGATCACTATTTTTTGATCCGGGTAAGACCTCTAGAAATAGTCAAGGCAAACAACTTGGCAAATTGTAATGCTGCTCCGATTAATCCGTCCAGTCTTGAGATGGTGAATTTTCACGAAACACTCATCAAGTTAAAAACTGTGCGTAAGACTACATATAACGAACGGCAAAATGAAACTAATAGAAGAAGAACAGAAAAAATCTTAGCCAACATAAATAAACGTTATAAAAATTTTGCAAGCAACACTACAAAAATGATCGATAGTATACTAAAGAGATACCATATGCCAGTAACCTTTCATAACATCGTCACCCCCACCCAAGTCATTCCATCCCCCATGGAAATTTTAAACACAACCAAACATCACTTCCGCCGCTGGACCAAATACAATCCACCCAATACAATTTATGGAAAGAATGGGAGCCCTACCATAGACCTAAAACGGCAATACATGCCAACCTATATGAATAACTAATGGCACCTATCACCTCACAAACGGTTATCGATACGATAAACCAAGCGCCAATGAATAAGGCAACTAATGATTTTTTTTAAACGTAAAAAAAAAGCTCAATAATTCAATATTTTGTTATCTCAAGTATTAAGAAATAAAGTGCATTTCTCATAATTTAAATACGTTATATTATTGCATGATGTAGTGACGTCTACGTGATAACAAATTAGAATAGATTTGGCGCCTGTGCTTTAGCATGATATAATGATGATAATGGATGCAGCTTCGTGACAAAATACAATAAAATCGACTTTGTAGCTTATAAATACTGTTATCAATTGTGCATATTTGTTGTTCAAGAAAATGAATTTCTCTAAAATTTAGGACAAACAATATTAGGTGTGTACTAAGTATATTTATTTAAAATTAAAATTACCTTATTTGTGCTTGAATTTCTTCAAAAGGCCGGCAAATAGCTGGCATTATATAGAAATTATTTGTCGAAATGAGATCTTAATGTGTCAAGCAGTCTTTGAAGTGTCTAAAAAGTTTAAGTGTTCTTTTATACCTTTTCATAAGCAAATTTTTTTATGTTAGTACAGCCGCTATCATTTTTAATTGATTTTTATTTTAATAAATATAATTTACCTTCTTCAAACTTGTTATAACATAAAAATTGATTTTCCGAAGATCTTTTTTTTTGTTGATTTCCCCTTTTTCTATAGTACTCAGCCCATATAATCCCAATATAAGTAATAAAAAATTCTCAAAAAGAAATAACTGAACCATCCAAATCAGACATAACAAAAACAATAAAAGATGATTTTAAAAAAGATAAATAATTATTTTAATAAATCAATATGCAAGAGACAAGGTTCAGTAAGCATTTCGAAGAATAAAGATTTGGTGAGATCATGCTGGTGTCAAATAAAAATCCCTACGACAAAAAAGTAACAGGCTAACTTTCAAACATGTGAATTATATATTTTTCAATCTATGCATTGTCATCTCAAGAAATGAATAATTTGATTTTCGAAGAGATGAATTTTTGCAAGAGCGCATGACCGCATCTGTTACACGAATTAATGATTAGTGAACTTTCTATTAGAATTAATTGTTATACAACTTTACTCTTTTTATATTATGATTTAGTATTTTCTCTATTTTTTCTGGTATTTATATTTCAAATCATAGAATTAGTATTAGCAAGTGGATTAGAAGTTAGTATCAAAAATTTACAAATTTAATATGCATAATAGTCCCGATATTTCGTTATGAATTGATGTACTTTTCACTTGTTAACAAACTAATAAAATAATCGTGTCTTCACGAAATTACTCATTTGTTATACGTTTATTTGTATATATTTGATCGTTGCTTTTTCGCAGTTACAAATCACACTAACCTATAAAGAATTGATGGAAACCACCCCGATTATGTTCCGAGTAAGGATGGCACTGAAAGTGGGTACTTTCGGTACTTGCTGAAATCGAACGTCTACTTTCGGACAGGATTTGATTTACCGAAATGTTAGAAAATTGAAAGTCTTACCGAAAGTCAGAAGCCTTATCAAAAGTCAAAAGTCTTACCGAAAGTCAAAAGTCTTACCGAAAGCGAACCCCTTAATGAAAGTCGAAAGTCTTGCCGAAATTCAAAAGTCCTATTAAAGCCGAAACCCTTACCAAAAGTCGTAAGCCTTACCGAAAGTCAAACTCTATTTTCACCCAAGTAAAGTCACTTTTCGACATATCACATGGCGCAGACTTTAACAAAGACCAATTAGATTTTGACACAGATATACCCGATTTGTTACGCAAATCATGGGGATAAATTTTTTACTACTGTAATATGAAATTTGAGTGATTGACATGCACATACAGTAATGGGCCTATCTTTCATAGTAAATTGCTACTGTAGGTCTTTTTTAAATGCTGATTTTAAGGGTTTCTTAAAAGAAACTGCATCCACGAAACAAGGTATAGCAGTTTATCAACACAGAGTTTCTTATTTTTAGATTTAAAGCGGGATAAGTAATGAACTTGAAAAGAATGCAGCTCTTAAAGTTGATATTGTGTTTTATTTATAGACTGTTCACTATTTTGCTTCTATAAATTTACCAATAAATTATAAACTACCAGAACTATTCAAAAAGGTTGCAAGTTACAACTGCAAGGCACTTGTTTTGATTTAAAAACAAACTTGTTAGACTAAAATTTGTGTGATAACAAAAAATATTATCTAGTTAAATTAGAATTATTACTAAAAAGTTAAACTTTTTAAATCAAGTATATTGAAGACAGTTATTAAATTTTTAATAGGTAGGCTTAATGACTACCAGAGTTATTCTTATGCGATTTTATTATACTAGAAGGTATCAGGCTAGTTGCAAGTATAAAATAATTAGGGCTAGGATTAAAAATAAAATATAATTGCAAAATCACAAAAAAAGCTGTATATGAAAAAACATTTATTATTTTAAATAAAAAATTTTGCAATTTTTAAATAAAAAATTTATTTGAATAATTTAAATATACCAATGAATAAATAATTATCATATAGACTTGTATAAAAAAACAAATTTGACAAAAATTATATTTACAAAAAATTAATTTTTTTAAAACTATTGATCAGGATTATATAATTTTGATACTATTTAATTCATCTTGATAAGATAAATCAAATATACCAAAATTATAAATTTTGATTAATAGCTTATAAAAAAATTCATTTTTTGTAAATATTATTTTTTTTATCAAATATGACTATATTTTTAGACCAGGCCTATATAATTAATACAAATAAATAAATTTAACAAGAATTTAATTACCATGTTTAATAAAATATTAAAACAAAGTGCAAAGATATAATTTTGTTTTTACTAATTATTTTTACTAAACACAAATTTATATTTTAAATTTAAAAAATCTTAATATTATATAAGAAAAATTATTATAAATTAAAATTATTATAAATAAAACTTGTTAAAAGTAGAATACGTAATGGTAAGTATTAACAAAATCAAAAAGTTTAAATATATTATTTATATCAAATTAATAAGTAATCTACTTACTATAAAATCATTTTTCTTAATTTTCTGCTATTTTGATAAAATAATAGCCTTTTAAAATTTATTTTGATAAACTTTATATTATAAATTTACAAAGTAGAAAAGAATATAATAATAATAATTAAAATGATTGCTAATATTAGAGAGTATAGTGTTTTATAGTGAAAATTTTTTATTTTTTATATTATTCAATTTGTAAAAATCTCAATAATAAGATTAGCTATTTTTGCTGCACAAGTTATGCCGATAACCTGCTTATGCTGAAAGCGAAAGATATTGGTCATTTATTGCAAATATCCATTCACAACAGCAAAAAACTTATAAATGAACGTGCAACAAAAATAACATGCATTCGATAGCATATTGCACAAGAAAGAAATAATTCGCATCATAATGTTCAAAATAAAGAAAATAGACTTAACCAAATTGTTCAAACTAATACAGCTAATTTTAACGAAGCAAATCTTGAAGATACTGAATCGAATATTGAATTTAATGATATGGAAAGTAATGATAATTTGGAAGAACGATTTGAAGAAAATGTAATGCAAACGGTTGAAAACATTGATAATTTTAATACTAATGACCAAATTAAATATAATGAAGCCCTAATTGAATCTTCTATTCAAGCTTTGCATAGTATTCAAGGAAAACCTGGTTGATCGTCATAGTAGTCATATCCATGATGACGTGGTTAGAGAATTAAATAGGGTATGATTAAAATTTTTTTTAAAAAAAAAAACTAAGTCCAATTCCAGTTTAATATACTTGTTAGAATGTTTTTTTGAATTAAGGTTTGTTCTTTGTTTAGGAAGGCTTGGATGTCTTGGAGATACCCAGTGGAACTACGTGCATTTTGCAACCACCTGATGTTTCAGTAAACAAGCCTTTTAAAAATGGCATGATGCGAAGGTGGGAAAAATGGATAGACAAAGGTAAAGGTGGGTTTACTAAAAAAGGAAATCTCAAGAGAGCATCATACGAATTGGTTAGAGAATGGGTATCTGAAACGTGGAGAGAATTTAGTCCAAATCTTTTGGCTAAGTCTTTTGAAGCTGCTGGGCTTATGCTTAATCCTGATGGAAGCGAAGATGACAAGATGTCAAGCCGTCTTCAAGCCGTTGTTGCAGACCGTATGAATGAAGTAAGTTTTTCCGAGAAAGAAGATAATCAGGGTGGTATAGATAGTGAATCAGATCCTGATGATGATAATGAATCGAATCAAGATGATAATAATGAATCAAATCCAGATGATGAACTTGATACCGAAAATGTGCTGGATTGTGATCCTGAAGATATGATGGACATTTATGATTCCGGAGATATGATAGACATGGACATTTATGATTAATAAGATAGCGAAAATTGCTAAGTTAGTAAAAAAACCTAAATCAAATTTATACTTATCTTCTTTATTAATAGCGCGTCATATAATTGCAAAATAAATATTCTTGCCATTCAAATCCCAAACTATTATAGTTTGGGTTTGTCTACACCCAAATCCCAAACTAATATTTCAAAAATTTATTAATATTCTTCATTTAACAAATAATCTATATTCTTACAGCTATATATAATATATTTACAAAATGGAAAAATTATTTTTTTTATTTTTTAGCTTTTTTCAAAATTTTTTTTTTCATTTTTTATGATTTTTTTTTGTCGCTTATTGTTATGATACAGGAGTTGAATGGGCACATGACATTCATTATTAAAATTTTGGATTAATGGTTATCAAACAATCCATTGTTAAAAATTCAGATGACGCTAAATAAACTAGTTGTATACTGGTACATGCTTAAAATATGGCATTCATTTCTTTTCAAAATTGAAATTGCTCAAGTTTGATAATATCAAATAATTTAGTTATACCTCATAGAAAAACATGGATAAATAACCAATCAAGATATATATAATTTTTAAAAAAACTTATTGTTTTAATATTACTAAAAAACAAAAAAAAAACAAATAAAGATCACAAATTAATAAATACACAAGAATTTATCACATATACTTTAGAGAATAGATAGATATGCGCAAAGTGGGTTAAATGTATATTTATTATTAATAACCCTGAACTCATTAAGGAATCCACAGATATGAACCAAAATTTTGATTTACGGATGACTAACCCAAACACACTATAAGAACGATCAATTTAAACATTAAACCCGGATCTCCTGCTGCTGAAAAGCTTGTATCTACTCAAGTTGATATTAGCAATAAAACTTTTGTTTAAATCTAATGTAATAAAGTAGTTTTAGACTGAAATCTTCCAGTTATCTTCACTCTACAGTACAATTTCGCGTGGTTCAATAACAGTGATATATAAGGAAAGTATGCGAGTGAGATGATTTAGATTATTTTGTACAATGAATACTGATGTTGCTTTGAAGTTAGAAATAGCTTTATGCTCTCAAAATAAAATAAGTTACCCGGACAATCAACCAATCAGACAAATATCCTTCTATGAAGTTATAGATTAAACACTATTGCGCATTAAATACATTGGTTATATAAAGTAGGATTTATCTAAATGACCAACGGTGGTTATATCCGGGTACGTTCTTAATATATTTTGGTACATACGTATTTATAGGTGTGAAACATGTTTTTTTATATGAATAAATTACTAACTATATTGGGATGCGCGTTAATTCAGGACGGCCATAGACGTTAATTTGAAGCTACATATACTATTTTAAGGGTATCTGATTTTCGAATTAACGCCCCTGGGCATTATTTCGCACTTATACGGTAATTAATAAATAAAAGCACCCGATATCTATACAGTTCACTTTAATAAATATTAAAGCAATATGAGAAAATATCTAAATACAAATAAAATACATAATTATTAATGTTATCATACCCTTAATGCTTTTTTTGTTTCAGGTGAAAGTGCTCAGGACCTTTTTTAAGGCTTTTTTGTAACTTTATTTGTTTCTGTTGTTTCTGCTGCTGCAGTTTCTGCTGCTGTAGTTTCTTCTGCTGTGGTTTCTACTATTGTTTATACTACTGTTGTTGTTGCTATCATTGCTGCTGTCATTACTGCTGTCATTGCTGCTGTCATTGCTGTTGTTATTACTGCTATCACTGCTGCTGTTGTTACCATTGTTGCTATCAGAAGTTACTAAATGGGCTCTTTTTCTATATATCCTTTTTCCATGTATACTTGTTATAAAATTATCGATTTTATTGCTGAGGTTTTTAATGTTAGTCCTTATTGCCTTTATTTCATCTACAAAAAAAAATGTCAAACTGCATGATAAAAAAACTGATAGTTTTTGTAGATATTAAACCTGATATCAATATCTGTATCTTATAGGGATATACTTAATATGTATATGTGCTACAAATCTTTACCTGATATGTAATATCACTAAATACTAAAAACATCAATGTTGTTACCTTTATCTGCAGTATTGTTTGCAGTATTGTTTCTGAGAAAAATATTCGAATAATATAAAGAACTCATATTGGAAGTGTTGTAGCAGTATCAGCTACAAAAAGATGCATTTAAAGTAATATGATAAGTGTATTACTTATTTGGATAAATAAAAATACAAATTTGTATTTTTTTTATTACCTTTAAAGGAAGTAGAGAAAGAGAAAAAAAGAGTACCATATTATCATGAAATAACGCACAGGGGTGAAATTACAAATTTTGGCCTACATTAAGTTTAATTGGGCCAAACCTTGAAATAACACCCATGTGCGCTATTTCATGGTAATACGATATACACCAAAATTAATTATTTTTTGTTCTCTTATATAGGATAGATGTAAAAAAAATTAATACATCAAAATAAAGTGCATAATGTTATCATATGTGTATTTGACAAGGAAAAAATTACACTTTAGGGCTTTAAATTTATAATCACATTGCTGCCAAACTCTGAAATTTATGATAGGACCTACTGGTGTTAGAAATTGCTTAATTGTTGCATGAATCATAATATAAAAAAGCAATCTATAAATCTTTTTTTAATACAGTGTAATATATGACAATTAAGCAACCTGGATACATGTACTCTAAAATTAAATATCAATTTTTGGGGAGCAAACAGAATTGGCAGCAATGAGATACAATCTCTGCAAAATCAAATAGATTGGATTCGGTAAATTATAAATTTTAAATCTCAAAGTATGTATTTTTTTTTTTGGCACTACTAATTAGATATCGGAATACTAAATTTTTTTTATTTAAATGTTTTTCTTATAAAAATATAATACAGAGTAATATCATCATCTATAGATATCAGAACATCTAAATTTAATTGATACTCTGATATTAATATTAATACTGATATTAATATCAGAAATCCTATTTATATTTGTGGGCTAAAGTACCCTCCTCTGTAAATATTTACATTTTGATACTGCAACATCTTAATACTATTATGAGACTAACTTTGTATTTATATCTTTAGGCTATATCTAATTATAAATAAATAAAACTTCTATCGCTATACAATTATCATTATTAAGTTTATTTTTGATAGTCTATTACCAATATTCCTATTTTTGGTATATATATAAAGTAAACATTCCTTGAGATTTCTATTACTCATTAAAGTAATAAATGTATCTTTGATTAATACAAAGGAAATTTATATTGCATTAATACTATTTCTTTTTTTAGTTTATTTTTGATAGTCTATTACCGATATTCATATTTTTGATATATGTGTAAAGTAAACATTCCTTGAAGTTTTTATTACTCATTAAAGTAATAAATGTATCTTTGATTAATACGAAGAAAATTCATATTGCATTAATACTATTTCTTTTTAGTTTATTTTTGATAGTCTATTACTATTTTAATATACGTGTAAAAATTCTTTGAGAGTATCTATTTTTCTATTGTACCAATAATTTGAAGAAAAAAAATGAGATACTATAATAATAGAAAATTTCTAAATAGTATGAGTAAATTGTATTGAAAAATGCCTCCTGTAATTTAAAAAAGTTATTTCAAGGAGATATAAAAGGAAATTTAATAAATAATTCAATGAGTTATCTTTCATACCTCTCTTTGTTATTACTTACTACAAATAATTGTTTTTAACGTAGCTGCTAAAAAGTATAGCTGCATAAAAAAATTCTGTATTTAAAGACCACTTGTCTGCCTTACTACTCGATATCTAAAACTACAAACACTAAAATATTTTTTAAAATGAAACATAGTCATCAGTTATTTATGAAGGTACCTGCAGTAAAAACTCGAAAAAAAGTTATTTGCACATGTAAAGTGTGCAAAGGTGAAAAAGAACTTTGTGATCTCTGAACAAGAGATGCACATATTGAAAAATAAGGAAAGCATGAAGAATTAGTAGGTTCTCTGAACCTGAAGATAATTTCTCTTCTTCTACAGATCCTCAAACAGAAGGCAGTGGCACATCTCAAACTAATATATCTTCCCTACTTTAATTGATCTTAGTCTTTAAGAAGAATCATTTCTTCAAGAATCATTTTTTGTAACTAAAAATAATAGAAAAAAAATGAAAGCTATAATTAGAGAACAACCCGATATCGCTATTGTTTTTGAGACTTTAAATATCTCTAATGATGAAAAAATTACAGAAGTAGAGCCTGAAAGTGATGATGAAGATACTATATTAGACTATTCAGCTCCCAATATTGATAGTAGAAATGAAGAAAATTTTGAAGATATTAGAAATCTTAATCAAGACTTTGGTTAGATATTAATTTGGATCTTAAGATACCAATAGAGATATCAGCTTGCCAATACTACAACAGAATCATTAATACATTTTTTATTAACTTATCTTGACCAAAATCAGTTTCAAAACTTTCCAGAATCGCTTTATTTAGGCTGAAAGTTAATGGAATTAGATCTACACATAAATAACTATACAATCTGCTCAGCATGTAACAAATTGTATGAACCTGATAAAGTAACAACAAAAAAACTTGAACAAATCCTGATGTTTCTTTATTGTAATTTTATAGAATATCCTAACTACTTAATGTCTAAAATGAGGTAACCTTGCAACTAACAATTAGCAAAAGCGGTACCTACCAAGGATGCAATATTGTATCGCCATTTGCTTACTTATCTAATAAAAAATATTCAAAATTAACTTCAGTTATTATACAGTCAAAGTGGTTTTGAGGAGTTATACTAAAAATGGATTAAGAGAAAAATAAGCAATAATTATTTTGCTGATATCTATAAATATAATATTTGGAAAACATTTAAAGATCAAAATACAAATTTCTTTACTTCAGAGCATGCCGATACACATCTTGGCTTATGATTAATCTGAACTGGTTTAGTCCTTTCCAAAATTCTACATATTCTACTAATGCAATATATGCAGTTATTTGTAATTTGCCTCATAAACTCAGATTCAAGCCACAAAATATACTAACCTTGGCATTATTGCCAGGGCCTAAAGAAGTTAAAATACACTATATTAATCATTATCTTGAACCTTTGGTTAATAAATTACTTGAATTGTGGGGTGGAATAAAAATCTCCACATACGAATCTCCTATGGGCAAAAAAATTAAATGTGCTGTTATATGCTACTCATGTGACATTCCAGCTGCTAGAAAGTTATGTAGACAAATATCAGCAAGGATTGCATGTTTTCAATATGAAAAATATGCACAATATGATGCTAGACATCAACCTAATTTTGGAGGATTTGAAGATATAGACGACTGGTTTGTGGAGTGTGATGTTAATAAAATTAAATATGATGCATATGAATGGTTACAATGCAAGACTGATAATCAAAGAAAGCATCACCTATCTAAAAAACTGGTGAGATGATCAGAACTCCATCTCTTCCTTATTTTAATCCAATCAAATATGTAATTGTGGACCCAATGCATTGTTTATTTCCAGGAATTGCAAGCAGATTGTTATGTGTCTTTGAATAGATAGTGGAAAATTAGCTTCTAATAGTCTTAAACTTATAAATAAAGAGCAAAAAATTGCAAATTCCATCAGATATCAGGAGAATTCCTTATAAAATTGCTACAGGAGAAGAATTTTCTGGGTATACAGCAGACCAGTGACAAAGATTTATAATAATATATGCCACTACCATTACTTAGAACTTATTAACAGAGCCAGACTAGCATATTCTTGCAAACTTTGTCAAAGCATATAATCTGTTAGTTTGTAAAATATTTGATAAAGACTCACTTAATGAAGCTCATAAAAGATTATTAAATATAGCAAAGTTAATAGAACACCATTATGGTCCTAAAAAAATCATATCCAATATTTATTTAAGTTTATATTTGTGTAAAAAATTGTATGGATTATGGACCATTATATTCATTTTGGTGTTTTTCCTTTGAGTGAATGAATGGAATTTTAGGTAATATTGGACATTATTATAAATATCGATATAGTTTATATAACAATACTGATATTTATATAAAATACTGATATTTATATAACAATACTGATATTTATATTTTATAGGCTCATATAAGACTAGCCAAAGAAATATAGAACCAGAACTTTTAAGAATTATTTTCACAAATAATTGTTTAGATGAAATGGTATCACATGCTAAAAATAATAAAAGACTATCTGATTCTCTAACAATAATAAAAGGAAGAATATTAGGTGGTAGCATAGATATTTTAGATAAATTTGAATCACAAAATCTTCTTCAATTTTATAATTTAAGAAATATTATCGACCAGGAAAAAGCTTTTTGTTATGAATCATTTCCTGATACATTTTTTGGTCCAAAATCAGAAAATTCTATATTAAATTCTGATAGCTTAGATCTTTTAGTTGCATTCTATAATGACACAGTAGAAGGTTTTCAATTTACCAAACCTAAACAAATATCAGAAATTGAACAAATATCAGTATTTCCCAATGTTATTCAATATGAACAGTTAAAATTGGGGTCTGAAATTTTTGGATCTACATTCTCAGCTTGCTACATCAAATCCTCAAGAATTCTGGTAAAATTTGTTGCTGCAGAGAATGAAACAGTAGATTCATATCCTGGTCAAGTTCAATTCTACTTTGACCACACTATCTAACTTCCTTCAGGCCCACAAACATATCATCTCACATTTGTAAGATGGTATGAACCTGCTGATGATTATGAAATAAGATTTCACATAAAAATTAAAAGTGATGATAATTCTAGTTGTAATGTAGAGTTGTGGGGTCAAGAATTCTGCGAATTAAGCAGAGATTGCATAATTTCCATATATCAAATATATTTCCAGTTTATAGCAGATACATATACTACTACTTCCAAAACATATATAACCATAATCCCATTATATAAAAAGTACAATTTATGAATGCTAATATTTTAATTGTATTTTTATTAACTTATTATATCTGTATCAGTTTATTCTTTTTTTATATTAATATACATATTAAATATATTTATATATTTGGTATTAATCTTATATATTTAAATAAAGTTATTTTCTAACTTATATATGGGTTATGTAACAACTAGATTTTCATTATTGGTATTAATATAAATATCAGGAATAAATAATATCAATATTGATATCGGAATTCAAACTCTTTAAATAAATTAGTAGTGCAACTAAAATGCCAAAATTTTAGGTCAGAATTGATGAATTTTGCTATAACTTCAATGCATTCTGACTCTAAATTTTGGCTGGTCTGCTGAATTTTGGCTACACTATTAATCTATTCTGATAATCTTTATATTTACTGGTACATATATATAAGATTAGAGTTAGTTTTAGGAATATATTTTTAATAAATTGTCATTTAGTATGATGTTGGCTAAATAGTACTATGATAGTAAGTAACAATAAACTGGAGCTACAAAATTCAGATATATTATAATTAATTCAGATATCAGAAAATTTTTAATGAAAAATTTTCGATATTAAATGTATAATTATAGTTCAATCATCATAATTAATATCGCATTTTTTTGATAAAAATTCCTGATATTAAATGTATAAAATATAGCTTGACATGAAAATATATGTAATTGCTCAAAAAAAATAAACTGTAAAATCAATTATATTGATGTAATTAAAATATTATTTATTTTGTCAATTTGTTTTTTCGCTGTTTCGCTTATACTAGCAATACGTAATTTTTTAAAAAGTTAGATTCCTGATATTAATATAGCATGACATAAAAATATATGTATTTTTTCTAAAATTTATTTCGTCAATTTGTTTTTTTACTGTTTTGCTTATACCAGCAATACGTAATTTTTAAAAAATTAGGTTCCCAATATTAATATAGCATGATATAAAAATATATGTATTTTCTCTAAAATTTATTTTGTAATTCTTTTTTCGCTGTTTTGCTTATACCAGCAATACGTAATTTTTTAAAAAGTTATATTCCCGATATTAATATAGTATGACATAAAAATATATGTATTTTCTCTAAAATTTATTTCGTCAATTTGTTTTTTTGCTGTTTCGCTTATACCAGCAATACGTAATTTTTTAAAAGTTAGGTTCCCAATATTAATATAGCATAATATGAAAATATATGTATCTTCTCTAAAATTTATTTTGTAATTCTTTTTTCACTATTTCACTTATATCAGCAATATGTAATTTTTTAAAAAGTTATAAATATAAAAAAATAAGTTTATTTTTTTATTTTTTTCACACTTTCATTTTCAAAATAGATAGAAGCATTGTAATCTTATATAAAAGACAGCCACAGAAAAGAGGGCACACTATAGCCCAAACAAGTGGCAACAAAAGAAGACATTCTTCCTCATCATCATCAAGAGGTAATATACATTAGTTAAAAAAATTATATTTTAACTAAACAATGTCTCGTAATATATATATTGCGAGGTATTGTTTAGTTAAAATATAATTTTTTTATATCGATATCGGGAAGCTTGTATTATAATTTTATATAATGCTATTTGCATATAAATATATATAGAAAGAAAATGATTACCTCTAGTTTCACCTATTTTCATTATCAGTGATCGTGAGAGTAGTGATAGTGGTAGTGAAAACAGTTCTAGTAGCGAAAGTATCAATATAAGCAGCAATAATGAACATTTAGAAGCACTTAGAATATTAAGATATTTGAATATAAGTATCGGGTCCTAATAGGAATATTAAAATATAAAAATTTTTCATATTTATAATATTTCTATTAGGACCTGATACTTATAGCTGATTTTTTCTGTTTTTTTTAGCTATTTTGTTTTATAAATAAAATATCTGATAATTGTTATTATTATTAATATAATAGACTGATATTTTTTGGATTATCAATAGTCTAGATAAACAAAATAAACCAGACCCTGCGAAAAAATAGTTTGAATTCGAAAAACAGTTTCTTCAGAGATCGTTTCTAAAAATTAAGGATGATGTGCCAAAATACTATGTTAATGATGACCAAATACTTTAAATTATCAAAGAAAGACATAAACACCAGCATGAAAAGTATTTAGAAAAAAAAATCTGGCAAAACATAATCGTACTAAAGGAAGGATGAGACGTAATATACGGTCGTCACAGGTATATTATTATTAATACTATTATATATATATATAAATATTAGCATTTTATATTTCACTTATTTTTTTTTTTTTTTTTTTTTTTAAGGTGAGGTTTTGCCTTTATCTTTATTAATATTTTGTATTGAGAATCCACTATGGGTTTCTC